ATCGCATATATCCAGACAGATAATTTTGAACAGCAAAGTAATATCATAATCGAAAAAAATAACTAATGAATTCTCCAAAAGCATTAGATTTGCATATAGATCGAAATAATTGAATTCTCAATCAAGCATGTCAATTCACGAGAGGGATCAAAAGTACCTTGAAGGAAAGAGATAATCATTTTCTACTTTCAGGCAATTCAGAAGAAAATCGGCTTGTTGGCAATTGGAGAACTGAGCCGCCAATTTGCCGTTGATGATGATGATGAACAGAGATTAGAGCGTGCTGATAACGTGTTGTAATATAGATTGACAATATGTAAAATCTATGTGTAAAATAGACAAAGATAGAAACACTAGAAGAAGAAGAGAATAAGAGAGAAGAGATACGCCGTCAAAAACCATCATCTTATTCATTCACTTGAGCCCTATATATAAGGGAATACAATATACATGACTAAAGACCTAATGGGCTCCTGGCCCATACCTACAAATCCTATATCTAGGTAATGTCCATAAATTAATATTTACAACACTTTTGAGTTTTTTTTTCCGCTCAAAATAGATTTCAGAATATTTCACTTAATAAATCTATATATACATAATTACTAGCTGATTTATTTAATAAAATATTTAATAAAACCTATTTTCATTTCCATTCAAAAGGAGTTACATTTTTTCAATTAGTTACTCACTAATCTGTTAAAACCGTTACACCTTAATATATATTTTTTATTATTTATTTTTTGGATCAGTTACTAAATTAATTCTAAATTTGGTAGCAAAATATTCAAATGTGTAACGGCTAATGTTGGAACGTAAAGTTGATTGACACATTCAGAGCTGTAATCACTATATTTGGTTGCATTGTCGGAAGAAAACTATGATTGACACATATTTTTTTTTTTTCTAAAAATTAGAAACACCAATATTTTATTATTTATGTTAATTTTCTTAATATATGCCACAAATATATAAATTGTTTTATTCATGTTACTAATGTAAACGTTGCATGGTTAAAATAAAATTTAAATCTCAGTTAATTTTAAATGATAAAAATAACTTAAGAAAAAGTAATAATTTTTATATGATAGAAGTACATGTCTAATTAATAAATACAAACAAAAACGTTTTTATATTGTGCAAATGCACATGATCAAATACTAATTTGAAGTAAAAGCAACTGAGTTTTCTGATAATATTCATTTTAAAATTTGGTTATAACAATCTAAAATTTCAGATATGTTTGTATTTTAATTTTCAACATGAATCTTTCAATTAGTATAGATTTGAAAAATCAATATACTATTTTGTACAAATCTCTTTGATACATATCAATAAATATGAGTAGGAAAGATCCCACACAAATTTGATTCCTATGCAATTTAATAGGAATATTTACAAATTTTTAGTACATATATTTAGGAATTATTCGTTCTCATTTACAATATGTTTGCGAAAATCCTACACAAATTGAAAAACAGTATAAATTTTTAAAAACAAACAAGACAGAAACCAAATAACAATAGAAAAATCCTATATATTATGATTAATTCGTGCCCAACTCTTTAAATAAAAAATAATAAATTTTTGACAATAAAAATAAATAAATATGCAATTTTCGGTGAATTTATCATTTTTATGTGATTGAAAAATGTTGTTTTGGCAGATTTTCAATTTTTTTTTTTTTTCAAAAATTACAGAATCTTATATGCTCTAAAATCAACCGAACCTGTTCAAAAAAATTACCAATTTCTCGATCTTATATTCATTTCTTAATATAATATTTTTAATATTCTAGCGATCGACAGTTTTCCATTACAGTTTCTTATGCCATGACTGTAAACTATAGTCATGGGCAATCGTTATCACATGTCGGTTTATTTTTAAGAAGTCGGTATCATGGTTAGTTCTACGTTGTTGCCTCTCGTGTCACCAATCGAAGTTGTTTGAAAATATTAGTCTGTGGTTATAATAGCTCGCCAACTGAAGTGAAATAGATTTCACCCGGGCTCCTTCAATTCGAACGGCCACCATACCTGCAGAACCCAACGCCGGAGGTGGCCCCGGCGTCGGGCCTCCGATGTCTAAGTCAGTGCTCAGATCAAGAGAGAGAGTGCAATATCGAATGAATAGAGAATATAGAGAATGAGATATTTTGCTCCCTTTTGGGCCCAAGTTGGGTTTGACCCATATGGTTATGCTTAGACGTCTTAGTGAGCTTATCTTCCAATATGTATTCGTTTTCTCCATTATGTTTAGATGTCTTAGTGGGCTTATCCTCAAAAATGTATTCGTTTTCTCCATTAAACCCGATCTAGTATAATATCTTATATCACCAACAAATCAAACAAAAAACTTTGTGTACAAAGAAGTGTTCAACAATTTATGATTTTTAATTTGTTTGCGACCTGTTTATTTTTCTACACATATATGCAAGTCTATTAATTTAAATATTGAGGATGTTAAACATTGCACTAAAATATATCACCCCGTGCGTTTGGAGGATGTTGATAAAAGACAAGGCAGCCCCAATAATTAAAGTTCCGCAGCCAGTGAATTATTTGGAGGATGTTGATTAAAAAAAAAGGCAGCCCCACATAAATAAAGTTCCGTGAGACGCAGCCAGGGAGTGATTTTTTTGGCAAGTAGCAAAGACTCAGGGATATTTTGGAGTCAGCTGGGAATTATTGGCTAGAGAAAAGAAAAAAAAAATTGACAAAAGAAAGCACGTGCGGAGGGAAGTTGCATCTACACACGAGGGAGATTTTATACTCCTACTTTTATGTTTTATTATGTACTGGTAGCATTTTTTTATTATGGTAGACTAAAATTTTTATCCAGTTTGATGGAACTGATGCGTAACCAGTGCGATACGCATGTAAACAATATTAAATAATAATTATAAATTAAGGACGTGGGTAAACAATTTTAAATAATAATTATAAATTAAAGATGTGGGGGTTAATATCAGTTTGTTGTAAAAAATATAATATTATCTTGTATGTAATAACAAAAAATAGTTATATTTAAATATTAAAAACATCTATAATATTATATAACATATTTAAAAACATATAAAATATTATATATTATTCTTGAAAAATGTGAAGTGACTGAAAATTTTTAAACGTTATCAATTAGACATGAGCTATTGGCTTTTATGAAAGAAAATTTATATAATAGATATAAAGTAAATATTTAGATGATACTGACACAAACATCATAAATTCTGCTGGCTTAGAAATTTGTACTGCTGGACTTATAATTTGACAAATTTGAGATCAATGCCAAAATATTACTAACATAAATTAAAATATCTAAAATATTCTATATTATTCATGAAAAATGTGTGAACTCGCCTAAATAACCTAGATGTGTAAAACATTTGTTTAAACAACACAGTTAAAAGTATGCTTAAAAACATTAGTAATACGACATTATCTCAAAATTATAGAGCAAGATATAAAATAAATAGTGAGCTAGATATAAATATTATACAACAGAGTAAAAATATCTAGAATATTCTATTTTATTCTTAAAAAATGTGTGAAATCATATGTAAAAAATTTGTCCAAACAACATAGTAAATATGAACGGTTCGTAGATATTAAAAATACATAATCATTCAATATTAAAATAAGAACGGTTCATAGGAAACACATGAGACAAAGTCCTAACGTATAGAATATAATTTCAATATTATGATACAATATCGTGAAAATTCACAAAGTGTACAAAATAACTAGTAAAATGATAATTATAAGTAATAGTTTGAACCATTTTTTTTTCTTTTAAAAAAATATGTTATTTAAGAGCTTGTAATGTGTGTGGATATATGAAGTGTAATTGTATATATAGAGTGGTAATTATTGAATAGCCAATGGAAAAAAAAAAGTAACTAGCCATTGTAATTATATATATATATATATATATATATATATATATATATATATATATTGATATATTATTGTTATTATTACCATTATTATAGCCTGTTAAGCTCGAGTCCAACTAAGGTTAGGATTATTAGGTCATTTAATTGGTAGACCGTTTAAATTTGAGTTTTTTAGTCAGGGATCGTTTATCCGAAGCCGCTACGTCTAGCCCGTTTAATATTTTAAGGAAATTCTAAAATTCCTGTGTTTTTAATGGCACTATTCCCTCAATTATTAACGAAAATTTTGACACATCATCATAAATGGATGTATGCTAGTGTTATAGGAAAATTACCTGTGTTCCTAATAGCAGGTCAGTACACAGGTCAGTTTTGTTTGTTATTTGGTCTCTCTAAAAAAAATATTATTATTAAAGAAATAAATGAAGCAAAATCGTCCATCCACGTTGACCAGTAAACTATGGGTAAATGTGAAACTCCAATTCTACAGTATTTTTTTTTTTTTTTTTTTTTTT